GAAGCCGTACCGTGGCCAAGACTCCTGGTGTGAAATGAACCACTTTGAAATTTGCGAGTAAATGTTCCACTGCTGTGTCGCTCCACTGATGCATCCAGTGTGAAACAGAGGTTAAGATGATTTCAAACAAAAAAAAAGGGGGGGGGGGGGGGGCACTTGAGATTTACGGATCATCTTTTTGAAGGAGATCAGAAGTTTAACGAATCTTTTAAGCGAGTCTGGCGGGCCAGGCTACGGTTCTCTTGGTTCTTGTTAAGACTCTAGTAGCAGCATTCTGAATGAGCTGTAGTTTCTTCACAGCTTTTTTTGGGAAGTCTAGTCAAAAGACCTTTGCAATAGTCCAGCCTGCTAGAGATGAACACATGGATGAGTTTCTCTAAGTCTGGTCTGGACATGAGACCTCTGAGTCTTGCTAATTGATGGAGATGATAAAACACAGATCTAGTTATAGCCTTAATGTAACCAGTGAAGCTCAGGTCTGAATCAATTATGACACCAACATTTCTAACCTGAGTTGTTTTTATTCCTTTGGAGCCAAGTTGAGCAATGACCTCCATCCTATCCTTCTTTCCAAAGACAATAACTTCAGTCTTGTCTTTGTTTAATTGGAGGACGTTTGACTGCATCCAGTCATTAACTTGCTCCAGAGTCTGACAAAGTTAGTCTAGAGGACTACAGTTACTAGGTGATAGAGCTAGGTAGATCTGGGTGCCATCTGCATAACTATGAAGATGGTATTAGAAAAAGCAAAATGGAGACCTTCTTGCCCATCAGAGTTGGAGGATAATGAGATGTTGGTTAAATGCTCTAGCCGCCAGAGTTTGATGAGATAAAATGGTTTCGCTACCATGATTTGATGGAAATGAGGCATACCCTATCACCATAAACTTTTGGAGTTGGATAGATTTAACCACCACGGTTGGTGATGATGTGACATTCTCACCCATCAGGTTTTGGCTGTAAAATGGCCTCCAGCAGGCATCCGTGATCCTCGTATGACTATAATACATACAGGATGGAGCATTTTCTCCCCAGTTCTTATTTTTAGCACCTATTAGTTTGAAAATTTGACCACAATGCATTATACTTCTACTTTATGTTAAAGAAGCAGAGAGAACAATCCCTGCACTTATTTGGTGAGAGTATGTATGTAATTGTTATGGGCTCTTCTAATATTTACATTTCGTGCTCAGTTGGTTATATAAATTGTTGTTTGAAGCATTCAAAGCTATATATGTGGTATATTTTACACCAGATATTAAAAATATGATTTTCTATTCACACCTTAGATTATTTTCTTTTCCCAGCTATGCACTGAAGCTGTTTTTGAAATGGCATGCCTTACTTTCTAGATTGAAACTGTATACATTTTTCAGCCTCTGTAAGATTTTCATCCAGTGTAGTCACTGTATTTTGCTTAATCTGGTTCGCTGCTTTTCTTTTGCCCACTTCATTGTTTTTCACATCATTATTCCCACATTTCTCTTCTCGGAAATTGTGTGTTTCATTATAGCTAATATGGCCCATTTGTACTGTTCTTATTTGCTATATTGCTTTTTTCACAGGGATCAGAGCCTTAATGATTCCCACGGGGTGTATTAAAGTTTGATCATATATTAAATTCTCTTTTAAGATCAGCGAAGGGGAACTCATTTTCAAACTTTATATGGTTTTCTGACACTTTATAGACTCTTTGTCCTCTATCAACCAGGCATTTATGCATAAGACTCGAGCAGAGTAACTCAGGGGGGTGTTCCTCCTACACGGGAGTGAGACCACACTTCCATTTTCAGAAATTGTCACTGCCTCGTTGTCAAAAGGGGTGATTTTACTTGTTTTATTTTTCTTCCCCAGCTTTTCAAAAATTCAATAGGGCCTTGTACTATGCTGTCACAGCAGAAAAAAAGGAAAGTTATCGGTGGAATTTGATGGATAAGATCTATGATCAATAACGATCAAGATTCACTTGTGGAAAGAATTGGTCTTCATTTCTCTGGATTTGCTGGCTATCTCAGTCAAATAGAAATAGTTAAACAAAGGTTTATTTTTTTCATTTGTTTTCATTTTTGTGTGGTCCTCTTTTGATAAACTAACACACTGTACAGTTTGGAAACTATCTCTTAAGTGTCCGTCTTTTAGGAGAACAACTACACTAACCTCTCCTTGGCTTAAGCCGGTGTACATTGTGGAACATTTTCAGTCCATGTATTCAACTCCATCTTAAACTGTATGTTGTTGTTACAGAGCACAGCTCATGTGTTTATGTTTATGTATTTAGTAGGGATGAATTTCAGACGAGTATCCGGCACGGATAAAGCATTGTTGAAGAATACGAGCATGAAACGAGTAAAACTCGTAAATATCTGTAATCGTGCTGAAGGAAAATCCTCATTGGGTAACTGACTGTCTTCACGCTCTGTGATTGGCCAGTCACATAGAGCGCCCGCCCCTCCCTACACACAAAACTCTCTAGCCGGCCGCGAGCGCAGTCCGTCCGGCTCATCCACGAACACACACAGACAGTAACGGATCTCGCAGTGATTGCTTCACTGTTGCTCACGTTTCTTCAGCTCTCCTCTTTTTCGGTTGAATATTTAACGTTACTTTTTTTGTAACTTAAATGGTGCATTTGACAAGACCGTTGACGTGCTGCATCAGTCACTCTCTACCTCCGCTCTGGTCGGGTTTTTTATTTTTTTTAAATCCCTCTCTCTCCTCTATCTCTCTCTCTCTCTCTCTCTCTCTCTCTCTCTCTCACACACACACACACACACACACACACACACACACACACACACACACACACACACACACACACACACACACACCTCAATCAACATTGTTTTGTTTAACTGTGTGGGAAAATGCCAAGAATGTTAAGAAAAAAATCAGTTTAATCAAATTAAAATAAAAAATATACATAAAGTTGTGTCTGGTTCTAGCATTTCATATTTCCTAGTTCCTACTGCATGAGTTCAGATGTATTAATCCATGCACTTAAATATTAATGTTCTGATTTTATTGAAACACTTGTTTTGCAATAGTTCCTTTACTATTGTGATCAAAAATATTTAATCTCTATTCTGAGGCTGCTCTGTAAATAGTTTTCAAATAAACCACACACATATCAACTTCTGATCAATCCATCTCAATTTCAGATTTAAAATAATATATTGATGTAAACCACACCCACTCTCAGTTAAACCACGCCCACTTCTGGGTTATGCCACCCCCATTCCGAGTACAGATACAGATAAAGATAATTTAGTTGGTTGAACAGATACAGATACAGATAGTGGTGTACTCGCTCATCCCTAGTATTTAGCAGACGCTTTTGTCCAAAGCGACATACAAGTGATAATCGGCATGTTTCCCTTGAGCCTAACAACAACAATAACAACAACTTGACATCAGTGATGAAGAGGAGGGAACAAGGAGTGGACAGTAGAGAGGGGGACGTGTGCAGGGAGGGTGCAAGTTTAGAAGATGCTCTCTGAAGAGCAGGGTCTTCAGGAGTTTCTTGAAAATTGAAAAGGAAGCTCCTGTCCTGTTTGTGCTTGGTAGATCATTCCACATTTGTGGAACGATGCATGAGAAGAGTCTGGATTGTCCTGAGCGTGGTGTAGGCACTGCTAGCCGACGATCCTGTGATGACTGGAGCGGCCGGGCCGAGACGTAAACCTTTGCAAGAGGATTCAGGTAGATGGGAGCCGTACCATCACGGACTTCGTATGCTAGTGTTAGCAATTTGAATTTGATGCGTGCAGCTAGCGGTAGCCAGTGGAGCTCAATGAACAGAGGGGTGACGTGTGCTCTTTTTGGCTGATTGAAGACCAGACATGCCGCTGCGTTCTGGACCATTTGAAGAGGTCCCATAGTACAGCCTGGAAGACCAGTTAGAAGGGCATTGCAGTAATTGAGGCAGGAGATGACAGTAGATTGTACCAGGAGCTGGGTGGCATGTTGTGTTAGGTATGGTCTGATCTTTCGTATGTGTAATGTTCTTACACTGTACAACCCACTTCTCAGGTTCAACCTGACTGCTCATGCTGTATTTGTGGTAGCATCACATCTAGGGGTGGGAATCCGTTTTATTAAACATGGTAAACATGCTTTCTTGACTATCCTTACCATTGACACGGAATTAGCTGAGCAGATGTGTTGGCACATGCATTGTGTGAGTGGTAATGATACATTTGGTTCGCAGTGCTGCTTCACCAGTGCTACACCCTACCAAGGAATGAGCTGAATTTCAAACATTTTTGATTTTCGTGTCGATCGGGAGCTGGTTTTCAGGTGTTAATTGTTTCTCATTTCCTCTTATACTACAGGCTGCATGACACAAAACTCGACCCAACCTCAGACATTCTTGCACAAGAGAAAATTGGTCTCAAAATGGGCCAAAATATTCCACAGTGTATGACTGGTGTTACACAGCACATTATAGTGTGGCTAAATTGCTGCAAATCTGGAGAGCTTTCATCAGTTTGAAGGCAGTCATGACTGCAATGTTTCCAGTACTGACCAAATGTTTCCATATCCATGTGATGCTCATTTAAGTACAGTCAATGATCTGTCACAAACGCCAATGCCTGGACCCCAAATATTACCGCATACTGGCACAACTGTCTCAGATTGTATCAAGATGCAGCTATGGGCCAGAACAGTGGTCCTCAATAGGCGGCCCGCGGGTCCCCCCTTTGTGGCCTCCGAACCCCTTGTGTGATTAACAGGCTTCTGCAGAGCCTGATGAGCTGCCGCACAGGTGATTCAACCACTCAATCAAGTGTGTTGCAGCAGAGAAACCACTAAAACATGCTGGATATCAGCCCTCGAGTCCCAGTATTGAATAGTGCTGTTTTAGGGTGATTCTTTAGATAAATCTGAAGCAGACAGTGGAAAGGTCTAATAAATGGCTTTAGGATTTTTGGAGGCCTTTAATAGTTGAAGCAGTGGTATAATATCCAGTAACCTACATGTGTTTTATTTTATGCATACAGGCATTATGTGCAGCTGTGGTGACACCCGACACTCTTCAGACCATGATGCTGGTGTTCAGTGGTGCAGATGTCATGTGTGCCACTGGAGATCAGACTTTCTCAACCCCTTATCTCCTGGCTCAGCATGCTGGGCAAAAACTACAGATGGAGTTTTTGCATCACAACAAACTTTCTGGTAAGCAATGTGTTTTTGATCTAAACGTATTTGTTAGCTGGCACCACCAGTAACTGCTCAGAAAAAATTTGGGGTTACAATAGAGACATTTTTTTGTAGAGGTGTTTTTTTCTTAATTCGGGTGATTCTGAGTTACCAAAAAGCAGAAGTCAAACAGCGTAATTGATGTTTTCTTCTGGCCAGACTTGGAGGAATGGAATAAAGAATACTGTTGGGTCTCAACGGCTTTCATCCTAGATGGGTGCCTCATGCATCTTGTTCATTTTCTTGATACGCTAACAAGGTCATGTTAAAACTTATACTACTGTGCTGGTTGACACATCCACAGCTCAGCAGGAGTTTATTGTTTATCATGGTGAGTAAATGAAGGCGGAAAAACACAAAATTAAAGCCAGCAAGTTTTAAGTTTAAAGTTCCGCTGCCTCTTTCCTACTTTCCCCAGCTGTCCTTTGTATTACCCAGCTCATGTTCCCCACCATCGCCGGCACGGATGTAGCGCATCGTGTGCCTTCTTTGTGATGGGTGTGTGTTGCGTGTGTGCTGCCACAGGGGGCTGATGATAAGAATGTATCAGATTAAAGGAGCGTGAAGAGTGCGCAGGCTGGGGACGGGGAGATGACTTTCTCTGGGACTGTATTTTACATAATATATGCAGTGCATCTGTGTACACTCACCAGTACCGAGCCTGTTAGGGACTCGCTAATTGCTAGCACGGGTCACCTGGTCACTATGGAGATGGCAATTTACTTGAGGTGTTCTAGAAAACACACATGCAGAAAGGCAGGGAATCAGATGCATGTGTGTATGTGTGAAAAGCGTAGGACACACACACAGTCTATATGCTCATTATGGGTCAAAAAATTGTAGAGCTTCATCGTTAACAAACAGACAAATATGGACCTTACCAGACTTTGGCTGTGGAGGTTGATGTCCAACTACACTAACAAACCGGCAAACACTGGGTCAGGCCACCCAGATGTTGCTGTGACAGATTGACACTACTCCTGGCCTTCAGGGAGGCGTCGCCTCAGGGACAACAGTCAGCCCAGCTCTTTGCAAGTTTCCACAAGGAAGCTCCTCCTGAAAGGGATGTTTACCCCGGGTCAGAGTCCATCGTAAGGGCGTTGTCTTGTTTTCAGTCTTTTCTGAGTAAGTTTTAAAAAAATTGACAGCATCAAAAAACAGGATTCTTCTAATATGCCAATATGGCTGCTCATTATATCCGGACATTACAGTTCTGCAGACCCTGTAGAACATGATTTATGTTCAGTCCCATCATTCAGTGCGAGTGGAAGAAGTGCTGGACTTTATGACTTAGTGTAACAGAGAACGTTTGATGGAGCTAAGATAGTTCTGATCACAGAGTCCAACCCAACGGGTTTATATCTTTTTATGGTAATGATTTAATTTCCCTAATGTATCTCTGTCATATTTAGGACTTATGTCTTGCCACTAGGGATGGACAATATATTGGCATCAATATCGTAATCGGCCGATGTTAGTCATTTTTTAACATATCGGTATCGGTCCGATAAATTAAACCGGGCCGATATTAACAACCGATATTTTTTCCATCTCTTCACATAATAAACATTCCAATTCAGGTCAGTTCATTAAGCCAATCAGAAAAAGGTTTCCTATATAAGGAACCCAGCAAATTGCATCAAGTCATTGACTAGTGACAGTGACTTTAAAGCAATCCTCATACTACGCAAGCATGTAGCGACAGTGGAGAGGAAAACTCCCTTTTAACAGGAAGAAACCTCCAGAGGATCCTGGCTCAGTATAAGCAGCCATCCTCCACGACTCACTGGGGATAGAGAAGACAGAGCACACACACACACACACACACACACACACACACACACACACACACACACACACAACATATATATCCAAGTAAAGTTTCTATGGTTATATTGTGATTTCTTAGTAAATATTCTATTTGGTGAGAGATAAACTTTATTGTATTTATCCTAGTGAATCCATAATTTAACGGATAAACAAGTTGTAGCACATTCAATGTCAAAGAAAGTAAAAAGTTATTATCAGGAGAGGGAGAAAGTTTTAAGTGGTTAGCAGCAGTGTGCTAGACGATGGCCCCCTCCCTGAGCCACCACAGCTCAGCAGAACATCAATGTAGCTTCTTCTGGGGAGAAAAACACTTAGAGAAAAAATAAAATTAACAGCTGAAATTGCAGGAAATAATACAGTTAAAGAGCAGATTGTAGAAGAAAATTGTCGAGTGTGGAAAGTGGTCAGTATGTCCTCCAGCAGTCTAAGCCTATAGCAGCATAACTACAGAGACAACTCTGGATAACCTAGCCTTTTTAGATGGAGGCATGTTGGAGGCAGGGCAAGGGAGAGCCGTCTTTACCGACTGTACACTCCACCTCCCTCTACTCCCCCACTTGTCCAGATCTAGGCTAACATCACATTTTAACCATAGGCCCTATCAAATAAAAATGTTTGAAGCCTAGTCTTAAAAGTAGACAAGGTGTCTGCCTCACAGACTAAGGCTGGGAGCTGGTTCCACAGGAGAGGAGCCTGATAACTAAATGATAAATGACCCACACTTTTATAGCGCCTCTCAGAGTAAGGACTCCAAAGCACTTTTACACTACAGTGTATCATTCATCCATTCACACACACATTCACACACTGATGGTGATGAGCTACGATGTAGCCACAGCTGCCCTGGGGCGCACTGACAGAGGCGAGGCTGCCGAGCACAGGCGCCACTGGTCCCTCTGACCACCACCAGCAGGCAAGGTGGGTTAAGTGTCTTGCCCAAGGACGCAACAGCAGAATTCTCTGTCCAGAGCCAGGATCGAACCTGCAACCTTCCGATTACTGGACAACCCGCTCAACCTAAACTAAACTAGAACTAAAAGATCTGCCTCCCATCCTAATTTTAGATATTCTGGGAACCACCAGTAAACCTGCAGTCTGAGAGCGAAGTGCTCGGTTAGGAACGTATGGAACAATCAGATCGCTGATGTATGATGGAGCTTGATTATTAAGAGCTTTATATGTGAGAAGAAGGATCTTAAAATCTATTCTGAATTTAACAGGTAGCCAATATAGGGAAGCTAAGACAGGAGAGATATGATCTCTTTTTTTAATTCTCATCAGAACTCTAGCTGCAGCATTTTGGACAAGTTGAAGACTTTTAACTACATTTTGTGGACTTCCTGAGAGTAATGAATTACAGTAATCCAGTCTTGATGTAATAAATGCATGAACTAGTTTTTCAGCATCATTCCTGGAAAGGATGCTTCTAATCTTAGCAATATTCCGAAGGTGGAAAAAGGAAATCCTACAAACCTGTTTAACCTGGGATTTGAATGGTATGTCCTGGTCAAAGGTAACTCCAAGGTTCCTTACTTTGTTCTCGGAGATAAATATAATGCCATTCACATCAGGTGATTGACTAAGCAATTTCCTTTTTTGGATTTCTGGTCCAAAGATGAGAACTTCCGTCTTGTACTGATTTAAAAGCAAAAAGGTTAGAGTCATCCAATTTTTTATGTCCTCAAGACAAGCCTGTAATCTACCTAACCGATTAGGTTCATCAGGGTTAATGGATAAATATAACTGAGTATCGTCAGCATAACAGTGAAAGTTTATCCCATGCTGTCTAATGATTTTACCAATTGGGAGCATATATATAGTAAAAAGATTTGGTCCAAGCACTGAACCCTGTGGTACTCCACAAGTAACCCTGGAGTATGAAGACGATTTGTCATGTACGTTTACAAAATGAAATCTATCAGACAGGTAGGATTTAAACCAGCCTAGCGCTGTTCCTTTGATCCCTACAACATGTTCAAGCCTTTCTAAAAGAACATTGTAATCTGCTGTGTCAAAGGCAGCACTGAGATCTAACAAGACTAGAACAGACTCAAGATTCCTATCTGAGGCCATGAGAAAATCATTTGTAACTCTCACTAATGCAGTTTCAGTGCTGTGATACACTCTAAAACCAGACTGAATTTCCTCAAACTGGTCAAATCCAGAGAAGGCTTCTGAAGTGAAGGTTTGATTACAGCAACCTTAAAATCCTGTGGTACATACCCATTTACTAAGGATAGATTGATTATGTCTAGAATGGGGGCAGTAACCAAAAGAAATGCATCTTTAAATAATTTGGTTGGGATTGGCTCTAACATGCAAGTGGAAGGTTTAGATGAAGCTAATATGTTTGATAACTCTGAAAGCTCAACTGGATCAAAACGGTTCAAACACAGATGAGGTTCTACAGTTACCGCTGATGCTGCCTCACTTACTGAGGAAGAAGAAATCTCATTAGGGAGGATGCTAAAGATTTTGTTTCTAATAGAATTAATTTGACTTGTGAAAAATCCCATAAAGTCATTACTGCTGAGGGCTAAGGGAATAGATGGTTCAGAGCTATGATTCTGTGTAAGTTTGGCAACTGTACTGAAAAGAAATTTAGGATTATTCTTATTCTCCTCAAATAACGCTGAGAAATAAGCAGTTCTACTTTGCCGAAGCTTATTTTTATAAAGCACAAGACTATTTTTCCAGGATAGGTAGGCCTCCTCATGGTGCATAGAGCGCCATGTTCTCTCCAATTTTCTAGAGTTTTGTTTTAAAGCTCGCAAATGAGAATTAAACCAGGGAGCAAACTTCCTGTCCCTAATTACCTTCTTTTTTAAAGGGCAAACATCATCTAATGCCACACGTAAAGAGGAAGTAACATTATGAACTAAAGCATCTATTTGTGAAGGGCTAGAAATGAAAATATTGCCCTCTGCTACGTTCCTCTGGGATGCTGAGGACAGTAAAGATGGAACAGTTGATTTAAAAGATGCAACAGCGCTGTCAGATAGAGACCGACTATAGTGAAATTTACTTTCATGTCTCGAGAACTCAGTTATAAAAAACTCAAAGGTTATCAGAAAGTGGTCCAAGAGGACAGGATTATGTGGAAAGATTGTTATTTCCTCACACTCTATGCCATAAGTCAGCACAAG